AATCCTAGAGCAATGGAATTCCACCTGTGCTGTGACAGCAACTCAGTGTTATTCAGTGGAATTCTCTCTGCGGGTCATAAATTGCCCTCCCGGAGGGGTGGAATTTTCAGGTTTCAGGACTGTAAATTGAGAAAGGCTTAAAACTATTGCAGAGTTGTTGGGGGACCACACCTCTATGAACCCCTCTCCCCCACGCCCACATTCTGAAAAGGGATGGACAGAAAAAGGGCTTAAGGGAGTTTGCTCCACTCATCAGCTGCGTGGATCAAAACCGAATTCCTGAGAACATAGAAGACTGGGGTGTTTTTGAACAACTGCCCTTCTGAAAGTAAATGATACCAGGCCACTGAATTCTTTTAGCTATCAGCAGAGCATGACATCGTTTTTGGATTTAGAATAGATACTTTTTTTCCCCTCCACCACCATCTGCTTTTTCGTTCTAGTCTTCACAGTTCAAAAGCTGCTGCTGCTGACTGGGGAAAACCAAAACCAAAAGACACATTGGAGACTCCTAAGCATTAAAAAAACCCCAACCTGGAGCAAATTTTATTGCTCGTGAAAGTGAGGAACTTGCAGCACTTGTTAGAGGTTGGGACTGTTCTGGTTTCCTCCTCACACACATGGCTCTGCCAGCCCCTGCTGTCTATACATACCAACTATGTTACTTTATGGTGGCAAGTGACTTTGTAAGACGGAAAAATGTCCACTAGGGAGAAAGTTTAAACTACCAAGCTCAGTTCAAACCAATGGTGCAAGTAAGAAGGCAAGGACAGTGTGATTACAAGGGTTGACATCTCATGAAGCTCCATAGCTAGAAAAAACTGTCCTTCACCACTGGAAAGATTCCAGTGCTCCATTTTCCAGTGTTGAATGGCCGGAGTTTCTAGATCTCAGTCTAAAATCTTATAGCAGCATCTATTGCCACAGTGTCTGAGTTTCTCTCCCTGGTGCCATGCCTTGAAATCATCATTTGTCCCTCAAGTCAGGAAAAATATAGGTCATTTACCAAGAAGACCAGCATGTTCTCAGCATCTTATACAACCTGGGCCAATCTGTCCCCGCATTCAATAGAAAGGACTGTATGTTCCATGGGATCAACTCAATGATGCTTCCAAGTAACCAATGCTGCTGACTTTTATTCCCAAGTGGAAATACTGCAGCTCAATGGAGGGATTTAATCCCAAAGCAATTTCAGAGTCTTGCTTAAAGAGTTTGGATTGTCTGTCTTTAAAAATGTCTGAACACCGAGCTGACTTTGATGGGCAGGAAAGAGTTTTGGCATTTAGGCCTAGTTTAGGGACAGTTGTCCAAGGAAAGACCAAACAATAAAAAAGCCTGTTTTAAAAACCCCTGTATTGAAGGTCATGCTGACAAACGCTCAGAGTTATTTGTAGGTTATAAAATTGCAGGTTATTTTATAACAGTCATAAAATTGCTGCAGAATGTTTCTCTGAAGCTGGATGGGATTCCACTTTTTAGCACATGGAAACTACTTGGCTAGACTGTTGCAGTGATTTGACCACGTTAAATAGTTTTGCGTAGTGAGAAGAACAGGGGACTAGGAGTTTGGGAGCTGGATGTTCAACCTGAGACCCCTGAAAGGAACATGTTTTTCAGAAAGTGCTGAGCACCCATGCCCGAACCCCTGTGATGGGGGCTGTATAAATAGATAGACAAATCTCCAAGTTTTTGAGAGAGCTTTGATTGTGGATGAGAATATCCATAGGAACATGCCATCCATCCATTATAGGTAAGAGGTGAAACATGAGTTTCCTACTTGTAGATGTTGGTGTAATAAGTGTCCAGTTAATCCCTCCAGCTGTAATTGTGATGAAATTCATTAGCATGCTTTGGCATTACCGCCTGTCTCTAATATCCAGCTCCAGATATGACACCAGTGTAGGAATGAATGGGGGCTTATTCTCCCACACAGATCTTCTGTTTCTCGAATTGCCTGCGCAGTCAATTTCTCTAACTGTGTGTGCATTGGAAGACAAGATATCATTGCCATAAACACTCAGGAGGAACAAATAATGTGCTCTTACTCTGTATGGTCTCCTGCTGTCCTCATTTGTATTCTGGACAGCCCTGGGGAGCGTTCATTTCACACATGAATGGGATGAGGCCATTTGAGATGTACCTGTGCTCTGTGGAACTCTGGGAAGTTCTGCAAACTGCAGGACCACGCAGTAGCTTGGAGACTGATCCAAGGCCCATTGAAATAAATGGGAAAGTTTTCATTGACTTCCTCAGGCTCTGAATAGGGCTTAGATGGTATTGTGCGTCGAATTAGGCTGACTTGCTGCAGGGACAGCGTGCACTGTGATACATATTGATGTGACACTCATTGACTGTGTCGTGGCAGAGCAAGCTGCAGCATCTTGCAAGTATTGTGTGATGTCGATGCTACTGCTCTGCTGTCGCCACCTTTGCTCGTAGATTTCAGGCTGCTGCTAGCTATGATGGGATTAGTATCCCTGTTGTATACTGGGTTCCAGAGCAAACCGAGATTTCTGTAACTCCGGTTCTAGCTGCAAAGGTATGAATGAAATCAACTGCTCCGTCATGCCAATAGTCTGACCTCTGCGCCGTCCTAACCTGTCCTAGAGCTGTGTGTGGATAACGGTCTAGTCCAGCGGCTCCCAAACTTTATTGGTTCCCATGTCACTTTCTTAAAAAATGGTCGTGAAGTGAATGGATGGAATTTCATGCTCACGTACCCCAGGGTACACTGGAACAGGGTGCTCTGCCCCTTTAAGAGTGAGGGGGTCTGAGGCCAGGTGTATTATCAGCTCCAGCTGGGAAGGGGTCAGGTGATGCCTGTGAACAGGCTGAGACAGTCCAGTTGGAAGAGGCTCCTGTGGCAGAGTGAAAGCTGCTGGGCCAGGCAGTGGAATAGCTTTTTTTGGTGAGGTTTTGTTTTAATTAATACACTGTGTGCTAAGCGGGGAGACGGGCATAGAGTTAATCCTTCCTGGGCTAGGGAGACAGGCCAGCAGCCCTTCAGAAACATACCGCAATTTAGGACCCCCATGTCTAATCCCTGTTCAAAAGGCCTAGGGGCGTCCTAACCCATAGGAGACACCGACAAAAAGAGAAGGGTGGAAGGTGATGGACACTGAGTTAATCTTCTCAGGAGCAGCGGATGGAGAAGCTGAGAGGATTCTGCATGCACTTAATAGCCAGAGCTTTTAGTCTGGCCCTGAGCCGAAAGCCACTCAAATCCTTAGGTGCATTCCTATTATCTCAGATTTAGGAAGGTGCTTAAGAACTGCTTTTCCCTTAGTGCGTTGGTTCAGGCACTAATTCCTCACCAGTTCAGCTTGGCCTGGGGGACTGGATTCACCCATGTGTAACTAGCTGCCTGTTGTTTTTTGGTTTTTCAATTAAAAAACCGCAGCAAGCACAGAAATCCATCGTAGCCAGTGTTAGCTTTATGTGACAGGAATTATAATGGACAAATTGCTTTGCCCCTTTGCAGATTTTAGGGGCTGTTATTAAATAGCTCCTGTTTTCGAAAAAAAGCTGCAGATGAGCCGAACTGGTATGTCATGTTGGGAGCTGTTTAGAGGCCTGAAAATGACTAGGCTAGTATATTATCCATATAGTATATGATCTCTACCTAGGAAGGGCCTACCAGCTTTAGTCATGGAAGTGCTGGGAACTCCCCGGAATGAAATTCAGCAGTGCTGGTGAATCCTGATTGTCTCACACTGTGATTCCCCAAAATCTAGTTACAGGAGAAGACTCTCTTCCTCCAAATATTGTCGTCTTTCGCACACGTACAGGAGAAATAACTTGCTCACACACTCACTCCTCTCTCTCCAAAGCAGACAAGCTGTTCTCTCAAACCTTCCAACACTCACATCTCCCTTCTCGCCCCCGTGAACAAACAAACATGCTCATAAGCAACTTGGGTTACTCTGGATCCAATATCATGTCCTCGGGGTCACTGCATTGGGACGTCACTTCGTTGCTTTTGACGTTGCTTCCTGCTGCAGCATAGCCCTTCGGGGCAGAGCAAACTTCCTAAGCAAACGTCATCATCTCACAGAACACAGTGCCCCATTGAACGCCAGTGAGCCGTCCCTTCGCCGTTACCTCCCTGGCAAGTGAATGTGCTAACGGATGGCACTGCCTATAGCAGGTCATGTGGAAATTTGTCCATGTGTCCTCTCCCCCTCCATACTCCCACGTCTCCCTTGTCAGCGGGCTGCATGACAGCCTGTGTTTCCCCCTCCCACCCTCTGTCCTGAAGGATCTACACAGCCAAAAACTAAGACACCAGGGTGGCTTGGTAGTGGTGCCAGTGCGATCCTGTTCTGCCGTCCCTGCCACAGTGTAAGGAAACATCTGCCCTTTAACTCAGCTTGTCTATATTTTTCATTCACTTATAACCACCACTTCAGCGCCGGGAGCACTGCCAAAGAGAATCACATGCTGTCCTGCCTCTGCGGGAGCCCCAGCACGCTGAGCGGAGTTTGCATTTCAGCTGCCTCCCCGAGCAGCTTTCTTCTTAACGCTGCCAATGCAAGAGACCCTCGCCAGGTTCCTGCAGAGGGGAGAGGCTAACCCGCGTGGGGTGCAGCCATTCCCCAGCATGCTTTTGCTCAGTCTCAAGCAGGTCTCTCAAGTCTCCCTCCTTTGGGTCCCAGAGTGACGCAACAAGTTTGGCATCCTCTCAGAGTTAGGTCAGCCGGGCAGCAGAAGAGGTGGGAATAGAACCCTGGTCTCCTGAATGAATAACATGCTGTGTCTCTCATTTTAGGTCTTTGTCACACACTGGGGCTTTGGCACGTTGAGAAGTGCGGCCTCAGGAGGAATTTAATAGGCTCCTGCAGAAATCGACCCCTCTTCTTCAGACTGTAATGTTCTTGAGGAGCAAACTCTGTAGTGAAAGTCGCAAAGGTCCTTTCCCATCCGAGCTCCCACTTTTTGTAACTAATCTCAGAAACGAAGCACAAAATGGAACATGAGTATTTAAAATGGATGTTAGTTACCTGTGTTGATTCAGTGCCCGACGGCCCGACCCCGCAAGGCGCTGAGCACCTCCTGGGACGTGCTGTGTACTCTTAGCTCCATAGAAGGGAGTGGGAGTCGAGGGTGCCCAGCACCACACTCCAAATTCAGGAATGGTTGCTGCTCCCAAGGCTGAAAATTGGGCCCTCCTCTGGAAGGAGAAACGACATAATTGAAATAACATTAAGGGCGTGTAACACAAGCTCACTTACCAGCGCCAGGAAATGGAAAGTGATAGCCGAGCTATTTAGGCAGCATTTCAAAATACATATGATTGATTTACCTGACCAGCTACGTCCACGTACATTCGTAGAAGTCCGTTCTTCTCTCAGTAGGGCACAGAGCCTGCTTTATTTTTAAATAACACATGACTTCATGCGTGGACCACGGGGCCGGCTCTGCAACACTTACTCGTGCCGAGTAGTCCTTATATGAGCACTCCAACGGCGTTCACAAGAATAAACACTGTACAGTGTGAGCAAGAGTCTGACCTGCTGCAGACATAACAACACTCCTGCATTTACTTTGTCATTCAGGGATTCTGATGCTCCCTGCTAACCCTTGCAAATATAACTGATTGACACCCCTTCTCCATCTTTTCTCTGTATTAGAATGATGTGTCTACCGAGAGTAGCTCATCTGTCTAAACACACACACACACACACACACACACACACACACACGACATTAGCTGTTGTGCCATGAATTGCATGACAGTAGCCCCATCGTGCAAGGAACTGCACAGATGCATAGGAAGAGACAGACAGTCCCTGTCCACAAAGTCTACAGACAAGACCGACACAGGGTGGGAGAAAGGAAGTATGTTCTACAGGTGGGGAACTAAAGCACAGAAGGACTTGTCTAAGAGCCCCAGGAAGTCCGTGTCAGAGGGTAGGTCTACACTTACCTCCAGGTCCGGCGGTAAGCAATCCATCTTCTGGGATCGATTTATCGCGTCTTGTCTAGACGCGATAAATCGATCCCGGAAGTGCTCGGCGTCAACGCCGGTACTCCAGCTCGGCGAGAGGAGTACGCAGCATCGACGGGGGAGCTTGCCTGCCGCGTCTGGACCCGCGGTAAGTTCGAACTAAGGTATTTCGAATTCAGCTACGTTATTAACGTAGCTGAATTTGCGTACCTTAGTTCAAAGTGGGGGGTTAGTGTGGACCAGGCCAGAGCCAAGAGTTGAATCCAGAATCTCTAGCAAATCTTGCATAACCACAAGATCATCCTTCCTCTTTGTTCCATAAAGAAATGAACTGTTTGTGTAAGTATGAGAAATAAATGCGAACCTGTCGCTTGGAATTATCCTTAGTTCTCTTGCCATTTCAGCCATGAGGTTATGCTGTAGAGTTTTAACCTTTCACCGCCATATTCTCCTACCTATTTTTCCCCCCAGTAAAAATATCTAAAGGGGGTATTTTCAAAACATCCAAGAAATCCTCAGGCAATACGAAATCTGGGCAGCACACCACAGGAGGTGATGTTTTCTATGAAGTGCTTTGATTTGGTAGATAGGAGAACAGGAAAAAGGCATTCTTTTGGTCTCCTTTGGTCGCCCCAACATGACTGTTAAATTTCACTCTCATGAGTACTGTGAGCAGTAGAGCTTTGATGCCTAGCCCTTTGCATGCCTTAAGGTTTGTCAGATGTTTCTGTGAGTATGAGTGGTTTGCAGGATGTTACTCTCGGAGCCCTTGCAGATATATTGGAATTCAGGCTTTGAATTCATAGCTCCGTTTGGGATTGGGGACTGTTTGATATTTCTTTTATTTTCAGAAGAGAAGTGTTTGTGTTTAAGCGCCAGAAGATATTAACCAAGGGCATTTTTTTTTCTGTCTTGCTCCTAGTGGAGCAAGGATAATTCTGGTTATCTGCTTTGTTCCTAATCACATCTCACACATGGCTGCCCCCAGGAGATTTCAGCACGCTAGCGAGGAGCCTGACTTTTCCATATCTCTAAGTCCCCTTCAGCTTCCATTTGGCCTGAAGTTATCAGTGACTGATGAAGTTCAGTTTAACTTTCCTTAACTACTGAGAAAGCTGAGACTGTCTGGGAAGGTTTTGCCTTATTGGTATAGCAAAATGCTCCTAGTGTGGCTGCAGCCATACTGGCAAAACTGCGCTTATGCTGGTACAGTGTACACCGGTTCCCCAAACCGACATAAGCAGAGTTCTATTGGTATGACTGTGTCTATACTAGGGTGTTTGCTGACATAGCTATGTCAGAGTTTAAGGCCAGAAGGGACCAGGAGATCCTCTCTGACCTCCTGTACATTACAGGCCATTAAACACCTCCCAGCCTCTGCTACAACAAAGGCAACAACTAGAATTAGACCAAAGTATCACAGTCCAGAGACCACAGGCAGAGAACAGCAGGGATAGAGGTGTATCAATGCCTGAGGCCTGCAGTAGCAGGGAATTGATTAAGTGAGATATAACCAGATAATCCTGGGATGTGGCCCATGCCCCATGCTGCAGAGGAAGGCAAAAATACCCCAAGGTTCCTGGCAATCTGGGGGAAAATTCCTTCCCAATCCTGAATATAATTATCAGTGTGTTGGTAAAAGAAATCACACCCCTAACTGACATAACGATGCCAGCAAATGTTTTTCATGTGGACAAGGCCTCAGTGCTACTGCCTTGCGTTAGAGCAACTGAGAGCAGAATGTCAGACTGAATGGTGCTCAGACAGAATCATGGTGGCTGGCCCGCCTGAAAAAGTGGAGTGTCTTTGCCCTTTCAGATACCTACACCATTTTGATGGCAATCTTACTACTTTTGCATCTGCCTGCACCATACATTGAGTGTCATTGTAATCCAGTTCTGAGCTTCCAAGGCTCCTCCGCGATCTTTGTTCTGTCCTTTCAGACTTCTAGTTCATGATGCAGAGATGGGGATTCACCTGGCAATCCATGCACAAGTATATCTAAAACTGGATTTCTGTTATTCATGTTGCTTTCCGGGTTATCAGGTGGATCACTTTATACACTTCAAACGATGGTAAAGCCATTACCAGCATCCTTTCCCACATTCTGATGTTTCTCTCCAGAACCCTACATGTTCTGGTCATGACTATCTGTGGATTGCATGGCTCCCTATGCGTATTGAGATAAAATGAGGCACAGCTGTTGGCAGTCCCTATATCCAAACTCTTGAGGATTGGAGATGGAACATTGTTACTGGAGGATCCTTAAATCTGGGATTTGCTCCCCTTGTGGGGCTGCTATAGTCTGAGAGTGTCAACCTTTAGGAAGTGTTCCAAGGATGGTTTGGGCTGGTGAGTTGTATGGGGCAATCTTTCTTGCTGCAACTGATATTTTTTAACGTGGGCAAGTGTGTATGTATGTTGCCCCTTGTTATCAATTACAATGGGGTGTAAACCCCACACTGGCACTGCCAGGGCTAAGGGGAGCTAGAGATCTTAATTAGTGAACCTGGAGAGAGGGCTAGGCCCAATTCAAGATGAGTCCCATCTGAGGGAAGAGCTGGGTGGTGAGTATACAGAGAGGAAGCCCAAAGTAGAGGGGCTGGGTTGGGCTCCCCTCCCTCTCGTGGTAGTAGAGATACTGCAGGTAGAAGAGGAGCCCAAGGGGAGAGTAGGCCTTGGGATGCTGTCTTGAGAAGATGCTCTGGAAAAGGGTCAGGAGAGATGTACAGCAGCCCCTGGGGTGAAGTAAACTTCTGTGATGAGCTCTGATAAAAGGGCAGGATCTTGACATCCAGGGGGAGAGCCCTGGGAGGCATTCAGTGAAGGAACAGGGCAAGGGAAATTTCAGAGGGATGAAACGTCAAGCCAAGGAGGGCAGAAGTTTGGTTAAGTTTATATTTTCAGTTGGAATTTATTGGAGGACTCCAGGGGTTACCCTGTGAGCCCCAGCCCTGGAAGAAGGGTGAGCCTAGAGGGCTTATGGAGCCTGAGAACATAGAGAGATTGTGGAGCCTGAGAGAAATGCGGGTACTCAGTGGGTCCAGGAAGGAGCTGTGGCAGAGGCCTGCTGACAAACTGAGATAGAAAGATGCTCAGGAGGTAGCAGGGTGAAACGGGGTCTCTGGGCTGGAACCAGAGGGGCTGGGTTTCTCTACTAGCCAGTGGGGAAAGAGATGTGAAGCTCCCTGATATAAGGGGATATGGACTTGGAAAGCCATGAGACATGAGGACCATGGGGCTGAGAGTCATGGGCTGGAGACCTGATGTAAGGACATGGGACTATTGTTAGTGGGATTGCAAGTGACCTGGACCAAGGGCTGAGTATAAAAATTCCTGTGCTGAACTCCTCAGTCAAAGGGGTCCCATGTTGTTGTTGTTGTGATAGCAGCTAGAGACCGAGGCCCCATTGTGCTAGGTACTGTACAGACGCATGATGAGACAGCCCTTTCTGAAGAGTTTACAGTCTAAATAGGCAGCAGACAAAGGCTTTCAGAGAGGTGCCACAACTTGCCCAAGTCCACGATGCAAAGCAACACAGGCAAGCCAGCACCTATGGAGAAGTGAGCTGTGTCAGGTGAAGGGCTGGTGATGCTTAACTGCCCTGGAACAAGGAGAAACCAGGCACCAAAATGTGACTCTCCCTGGCCAGATCCTGGGGCAGTGCAGTTTGCAATGCCCCTTGCTCCGGGCTTATGGCAATTCCACAGTCTAGTCAAGGAGCCTTCGGCCCTACTCCTGTAGTGGGGTCTATGGAGGTGAATCCCTGCACTGGTGGAAACCTCATGGGTTCAGAGATCTGCCCACACAAGGCTAATGGCAGGATTGGGGCTTTACTTTTTATTCCTTTGAAAAACGCAGTGTGAATCAGTTGTGAAGTTCACGCCATCCTGCCAGGCCCAGAGATCAGATGCCTAGGAAGGCAGGTGAGATTGTCTGAAGTCAGTGAGTTATGAAGCTGATGTTTTCCCTCAGAGATTATCTGGGTTTCCAGGTCCATTAGGTTATCTGGCGCAGTGCAGATGAAAGCTCAGCTCATTCTGTAGCTTGAAAGCAGACAGTGACTGTAGGCCCACAGGCTTAACCCTCAGTGCTCACATTCAGACACAAGACATGTTCTAAGGACAGATTTTTTTCCCCTAGACATAAATTTCGAGCCAAGCAAGCATTTTATGGCTGAACATGAATCAAGCCCCGGGAAGCTATAAAAACACAATTTCTTTTTAAAGAGCTTGGAGCAGCCAAATTAAATTGCAATCAAGCTACTGAATACAAGCCAAACTAACGGTTATTAAATGGGAACATGCTCTTACTACCCTTGGTCCGCCAGCAAAACAAGGGACATAGTTATGCTCAGGGATGTATTTCCAATTCGACACAGTAGGCACATGTCTAAGGGCACTGGCATTCTAGGGCACCTACAAGTTAAAAAGTTAATACATACAGCTCCCCTGCGGGCGGCTGGGCTCCTGCCGTGGGTTGGTGGCTGC